GATCAGCTGTGCCAGGATTCCCCTCGCTGTCTTACTGCTTCACCCAGAAGGAAGGAAGGAAGGAAGGAAGGAGAAGAGAGATGGAAGGAAGGAAGGAGAGGAGGACGATCAACTGGGCCGGGATTCCCCTCCCTCACTTACTGCAGACTTCCGGCTTTGCCCAGGAGGCAACGCCTCGGCCCAGAAGGCCCAAAACCCCGGGGTGGGGGAGGGGTGTTTGCTGCAAAAAAATTAAAGCCACGCCCACCTACCCACGCCCTCCTAGCCACGCCCTCCTAGCCACGCCCTCCTAGCCACGCCCTCCTAGCCACGCCTACGGAACCGCTAGTAAAAATGATTGAATCCCGAACCCTGAGAGGGAAGTTGGCGCATCTTTTACCGCCTTGGCCCGTACCCACCACCCCCGCCCCGCCAGCGAGGGCCGGGCGGGCGGGCGGAGGGAGGGAGGCGTGTCTCTTTTTTGGCGGCGCCACTTTTGTCGCCTCTCCCGCAGACACGATGCCCTCGGACCCCATCCAGGCGCACTACAACTTCTGGCTCAGCCTGGTGGACAAGCTGAGCATCAAAGCCTTCGTCGACCTCACTTTGTCGCCTTCCGTCCGGCAGGGGACGCAGCACCTGCTCCGCATCACGGGACTCGGTGAGTAAACCCCCCGCTGGAGGTGGGAATTGGGGAGGGGGAGAGTTACGCCAGGTGAGCGAGGGCACCTGGGTCAGCATTCGACCCCGCGTGGGATACGAAACAAAGACGGTCCCAGAAAACCGCCGAAGGCCCTTTTCAATTCCTCCGCTTTGCTTTCCGAGCTCTTGAGGGAAGGTTAGAAAAAAATCCCCCACAAACGGTTACGAGAAGGAGTAGCTACACAAACCACGACGGAGAATGTCCACAAACACACCCCGGGATGGACGCCGAACTCAAAAGAGAGGAACGATAAAACTAGAGAGCTATTTCCATGCTTGGTTTCCAGCGCTGTCCGTTCTCTTCTTCCGTTCTCACAGCTGCAGCCCAGGGAGGAGATCAGGGCCGTTTCCTCCCTCGTAGGCCACGCCGTTCACGTTTTTTCCCCCTCATCTTCTCCTCCGTGAGGATGGAGAGGAGGATGGGCCCGGTTCTTCGGACTTGCCCAGCCGGCGGCTGGTGTCCCTCCTCAGCCTCCTCCGCAACCTTCCGCTCCTCCTCCTCCCGCTCTTCCCTCAGAGTAAGTCTCCACGAGGAGAGTTGGGGAAGTAAGTAACTCCTTTGATTGGAGGTTGAGAAATTAACCCTAAAGGGGCAGAGATGGAGGAAGAGGAGAAGGGAGAAACGTGAACCGGTGAAGCCCCTTTTAATTCCTTCGCTTTGCTTCCGAGCTCCGAATATCGTTGAGGGAGGACAAAAAATTCTCCTCACAAAAAGTTACAAGAAGAAACGGCGGGAAAAACCAGCGACACAAACCAGCCAGGTCAAAAGTTAGCCAGCCAGTTTTTGGGCCTAATGCTGGACTAGAGCTCCCAGTCTCCTGGTGATTGGGCCTAAGTTATCCAGCCAGCTTTTGGGCCTAATGCTGAACTAGAGCTCCCAGTCTCCTGGTGATTGGGCCAAAGTTAGCCAGCCAGCTTTTGGGCCTAATGCTGGACTAGAGCTCCCAGTCTCCTGGTGATTGGGCCAAAGTTAGGCAGCCAGCTTTGGGGCCTAATGCTGGACTAGAGCTCCCAGTCTCCTAGTGATTGGGCCAAAGTTAGCCAGCCAGCTTTGGGGCCTAATGCTGGACTAGAGCTCCCAGTCTCCTAGTGATTGGGCCAAAGTTAGCCAGCCAGCTTTGGGGCCTAATGCTGGACTAGAACTCCCAATCTCCTGGTCTCCAACTCATTGCCACAATAAACCACGTTGTCCTCATTCCACCGACCAAAATATTGGTGGGGTTATCCATCCCGGTCCGCACGCTGTGTCTTCATCTACTCTGGGGGAGGGGAGCCCTTTCGGGACCCGCTTGGGGGCTCCCTTGACGTGGTTTGTGCGCCTTCTTTTCGTCCGCAGGCGGGATGAAACCGAACACCTTGGTCCTGGGTTTCTACGATGACTCGGTCCCCGAGGATTACTTCCTGCAGGACCCGGCCTTCAGCCAAGCGCGGGAGAACGACGAATTTGGGGTGGATTTGGCGGCCTTGCAAGCCCACTTCCCTCCCGTCCGGGTGACGGCTAACCAGCGGGCGCTGAGGCCCTCCGAGTATGTGGCCATCGTCTCGGACGCGGTGAAGATGCACAAGAACGTCTGCCTGGCCCGCTACTTTCACCTCCTCGACAGGGACCTGCTCTCCTCCTCGGCGTCCAAGAAGCGGCTGGAAGGCCGCTACATCGACGTCTGGCCCCTCAACCTCCTGCGCCCCGACACGCCAACCTATGTAGACATCTGCAGCCTCTTCCTCCTCCAGATGGCCTGCATCCTCACCATGGTCAACTCCTGGAAGGGGGCCCGGTTGCGGCTCTTCATCTGCGTGGAATCCGGGGACGGCGGCTGGGGGAACAAGGAGGAGAAACTGCGGGAGCTCCTGACCAAGTTGAGGATCAAAGCCACCATCAAGATCGTCGCCTGGGACCAGGTGGCCACCGTCCCTGAGGTCACGGGCGGCGGGGAGGTCCCGGAGAGCCCTCCGTCCGGAGAGACGCGCGGGGGGGGAACCTTCCTCAACGCGGCCACCTTCCGCGTGACGGACGAGTACTTGAGGTCGGTCAACGAGCTGCTCCGGAAGCAAGGCGGGCAGACGGCCGTGCGTTTCCTCTACCTGCCGCGCCCCCCCGCCGACACCTCGCAGTACGAGCGCTACCTGGAGCAGCTGGAGATCCTCACCGCCGGCTTGGGGCCCACCCTCCTGATCCACGGCCTGACCCCCGTCACCTGCACCGAGCTGTAAGCGGGCCCGTCCGCGGGTTCGTGGCCCAGCGACGGCCCTCGCTTGTCACCGACGATGAACGAAACGTGCCTTTTGAGGCGGGGTGGGGGGGAGAATAAACGAAGAAGCCGGGCCTGACGACGTTGGCGAGACCTTTGAGGTGGGTTGCCGAAGTAGGAGAGGAAGATTGAGGACTGTGTTCCGCGGGACACAATCGTCTTCCGCTAATCGGCGGACGATTTTCTTTGCATCATCTTCACGGCACCAACGTCTTCCGCTAATTGGCGGACGATTTTCTTCGCATCGTCTTTAACGGGACCCTCGGCCAAGAGATCTTCTCGTACCCCCGGAGGCGTGAAGGATTCTTCTGAGCTCTCCAACCTCCCGCCACCGGATTTTCAGAGTCGGACGTGCTTCCCTCATCCATTTCCTCGTTGTTCTGATCCAAACCT